CGAGGTGAGGAAATTTTTGAAGAAATTCAGCTTTGGATCTGTGATGGACTGAGGGAGTTTGCTGATGAATGGTAGAAGATATGGATATATAACAGTAGCTAGACCCCGACCACCTTCACGAACCACAGTTGACAGCTTGGGAAACACGCTTTTTTTTGCATTTACATGAAGCCAACAGTCCTAACCAAAGAAAAGATTGCAACAGTAATTAGAGATCATAAACATTCTTTTCCCAATTAAAAGAGAAGACATATAAGCTCTCAAAAATAAAAAAATAAAAAAAAAAATCAAGTATTTTATCTAAAGAGGCTAAAATCTTTCATAACCATTAAAAACTACAACTCTGAAATTATAAAAGTGTTACACATAATAATCATGTATTCCACATGTTTACAGGACAGTATTGATCAGAAATAATTATTTAACTTAAAGGATTTCTATCAAACTGTTTTCCAAAAGGCACTACATTTCATCTTAAATATAAGATTCAGATATGCCAACTGCATTGGGCCCCATGAGGTTTAGAGAATAATTAATATTGGCTAAACAAAGTCAAATAAAAACTCTATGCCATATTAGTCAGTTTAAGACTCATGCCAAGTTTGGATTAAGTATTTTACTTCCAAGAAAACATTTTCCCAATATGATTGAGATATTATTCCCTGATGGGCTCTCTCTCGTATGATACCTAAGGGTTCTAAAATACTACCAGGAAGACAAGTATTCTCCAGTGACTAAATGTGGCTCTCTTACATACCTCAATAGTTGTAAGTGTATATAGTACAGCTTCCCAGAGAGCTGGGCAGACAATTGGGTCACTGTCATCAATGCTAAGTAGGACTGATGGGCTCACTTTGGATGCTTCCTCTTTCATCAACTGTGGAATGCGCTGGCACAGAGCAGAAACTAATTCAAAATAAGCTGAGCGAATCTAAAAGAAATGTAAAGCTGAATTAAATTAAATCCTAGTAAAGCTTGATAAGATTTTTTATTTATGGTAATGGTAGATTATTCACACTAATCCTCCCACTAATAAAATTAAAATAGCTAGAAAAAAATACTTTAAAAAATCTTTTTAAGAGTATCAAAGGGCTGAAAAGGCATAAGGAATTAACAAGGCAAAAGTGAAGGCAGAAAGAATTAATTCAACTTTTTCTTTGGATGAAGCAAACACACATCCTCTTTAGCGGCAGAAGCCTTCATTCAGGGCCTCCATTACAGTCAAACAAAAAATAAAACACCATGAGCCACAACCAGCAGAAACAAAAGATAGCACAGAGATCTGAGACTTTAAATCTTAGAATTATCAGTCACAAACCCCATAACAAAATGCTTATTATATTTAAAGAAACAAAAGTTTAAAGATATCTACAGGAAAATGGATCCTAGAAAAAGTATAGTAGAGGCC